CATTTCAACAGAAATATTTTGATAATTAAAATACAATAAATAAATACAATAAACAATAAGAACAATATTTTGAGGTTGTTTGCTGTGCACAGTATTAAGCAAGCTTGATAAAAAACTTACAAAATTAAGTTTTCCTTACTTGGCTATGCTTTGCACACATAACAATGACACTAGCCAAACTGGTTAAACAAAAATAATTCTCAGCAGCTGCACCTGTTACCAAAAAAAGTCTGAAACTGAAAAGTGCACAAAATTATTCAATCATACAGTGTTCAGAAAGTGCATTTTCCTCTATTCTGCACTTTAAATGAATGACTGTTTGAAACTGGTGGTAGCACTGTATCGATACTTTTAAAAATGAGTATTGTATCCGGATACGTTTCAGTATCGATACTTTTTTGAGTATTGATACTTTTGACAACCCTACTTCTTTGAAATGGCTAGCAGTGAATAGACATGAGGATTCCATTAAATTACTTTTAGTCATACTTTGTAATCGAAATGTAATGAGCATGTGAGAAAACACATGGACGTTAATGTTATATCGGTGTTTAAACTCCTAGTGAAATAAAGTTAGTCTCTCCCTGCCCTGTGGCGCTGTTTCCTCAGTGGGCTTCTCCGATCTACTGCTGTGCTCCTCCGCTGTCCTCTTGAGCTGCCTTATCTCCCTGCTCTGGCGCGTTGTCTGGCTAGCAGGCTTCTCAAATCTACTGCTGTGGTCCCTTAGCTCCAAAGGGCGGCACAGCAGATTGCCTTGTCCCAGTTATTGTGTTCCTCCTTCAGGTGTTCTCACACTGATTCCCGCTGTTACTGTCTGAGCCCAGAATGCTGTTTCCCACTGTTATCCGGGTAATTTGTGTGCGTTTTGGGTGTGCTGACCAAAACAATCATGGCCCATGCGCAGTTGGAGGATGTGTTTCCGCTCAGAGAAAAACTCAAAGATGCAATGCCCTTTGCCTAAAATTGGCGGTCCTCATAGTCAATGTAGTTATAATTTTCCTGCTGAGGATTATAATGTTTAACAAAATAAGATGTTATTTTATGCTATAAAATAAGTTGGTCTCACAAGGAAAAATAACATTACTGCAGCATTGTTGAGGGACGGGGACTAAGTACTGAAATACAGAAATGGAGAATATATTATGGCAGACAAAAGAGTTGTGTTTTTTTTTTTCCAAATCTGTTTCATAAATTACTGAATTAACTGATATATTCAAACTTGAACACTTTGCCACTTTTCTCTCTTTAGCATTCATTGTTCCCATCTTCCTGCCACCTTCAGCAGCGTCTCTCTGCCTATCTGGTGTAGCATAAGTATTACATCTCCTATCATGGCTTACCCAGTTTCAGACGCTTTCATCGTTGCAGTCAGTTTTCTGTGCTGGTTGAGGAGTATATGCGATGTATAATCTAAGGATGGGCAGCAAATTTACTAGTCCCAGGTGTTGGGACAAAGCTTGCAGAGGGGAGGATGGGATGTTTAGATAAGAGGGCAAAATGACCTTACTCGCACACACAGAGCTGATTTAGTAGAAAGCAGAAAAACAACTCTATATATGGAGACGGAAACTATAGGCAGGATCAATAATATGTTCTCTTTGTGTCGAATTGCAAGATTTTTCCTGAGGAAAAAGTCATAAAACAAGAAGGGCTGAGTGCTGTTTGCAGATGTTGGCTGAAACTCTTCTCCACTTTGCAAAGGTGAACAGAAGCTGTCTGTCATTTTATTTCACTCCATCTGAAGTTACCCGGGGAAGCTGAGACAAATTTTTTCAACAGGGTACATTATTCAGCTTTGAAAAAGAGGAGGGGTAGATTCTTTATTCTGAGTGTCTCATTAAAACGTATCAATATCTGCTAAGGGTTAAGAGATGACAAAGCAAACTGTCTTTGTTGTAAAATGAAAAATAACTTGAGCACCTAAAAGTTGTTGTAATTCTTAGGATCTAACTCATAGGTCACGGTTTAGCCGTCCAGATCCGGACCAACCTGCTGGCTAATCCGGACCCAACCTGACGTAAAACCTTTATAGATTACCGCATGTTGTCCGATGGCAGTGTCTAATTTCCCTTGTGCGGCTTCTCCCGTTTGTATGGTAAAGCCCTCCAGAGCACCCGAACTGTGATACAAATTAGCCAATGAGCTGTGTCAGTCTGGTCTGCTGCTGCAGGCCACTTTTAGACACTGCAGGCAAACCTGTGGCAAGCTGGGTGGTGGGAAAGAAGACGATGAGAAAAAGTGGAAGAGAGTGGATTGCTGGAAGAATTGTGGTGAACTGGTGACAGGAAAGTAAAATGGCATGCTCCAAGATGACCCTGCACATTTTGAGTACGTTTGGCTCAACTTACTGCTGTGAAGCAGGATTCTCCACCATGAACAGAATCAAAAATAAATATGGATGAATGAATGAGCACCTTGATATGTGCTTTAGAATTGATTTGTCACCATTTAAACCCTTTTTTTAAAGCCTTGCAGGCAGCCTAAAGCCATCTGCTCTCTTTAGCCTATAAAAAACAAAACAAAAAGTAACAAATGTTCAGTTCAGGTGTCTTATAAAATATGTGAATCAAGAAATTGGCTATATACCAAGATGAATGATTTTTGTTATGTACTTTAAAAAAAAATCTAACGTATAAGCTGGAACCATTAACACCTCATTTTATTGTTAAATTCTGTTTAAAGTAACAGATTATAATTAAAAAAGTGTTCTTTATTCGGACCCCACTGATTTTTAATTGGTGACCCCTGATCTAAGACCTTTATTATTGGTATGTATGTGGATATTTTTTCCTGTCCACTCTCTTCTAATGAACTATGGAACTTTCTGGCAACAATCCGCAAACAATTTCTTGAACGTAATTTTTTTGTAGTGGGTAGGTCTGGCCTTAATATCTCACAAGTTATACAACGGTTCTTGTTTTGAAAAAATGCTTGACGGCTCACTTGGAAATGGCAGAATTTCAATCTTATCTTTATACAAAACTCTTGGCCTACTGCTGTTGGAGGGGGAACAACTGCGTAATTGGTCCTCCTGGCCTGCATGCTCGTCTAAACATACTGTTATTTCAGGAATGTTCTTTTCCCCAGATGTGGGGAGAAAGAAAACAAATTCTGACAGCCACAGAATTTATCTACCATAAAAGTGAAACTGTGTACGAAAATACACTTTGTGGACTTTCTTTTGTTTGCAGCAATTTTCTTTTTTCTTTTTTTTTTTTAACAGTGTCCTGTGTGGCAATGTGGCAATAAGAATAATTATCTTGATGCCACAAAAGAGCCCAACAGATTTTACTTTCACAAGTGTAGCAGTATGGCAATTGCCATACTGCTACACTTGTTTCATGCATATAAATTGCTTGTTTGCAGCAATTTTCACCAGAGACGGCAACTTAAATGTTTTAGCGTAAAATTTGTCTCAGATTAGCTGACATTGTCCATGAAAAGCTTAGTTATGCTACACCAACATACAGTCTGTGTGGAAATGAGATGTGTGGACACACCCTCTGCAGCTTTTATACTTCCTAATTAAGCTTATAGCATCACACTACATGCGGAAGTAGAAAACACAGCAATTTCCAACATTTTTTAAAGCTTCTTGTCATTAAAGACTGAAATTAAATATGTTCCAGAGTTTCTCACAATGTGTTAATTGTGGTCTGTATATATTTATGGGCTCATTGTGAGCGGCCATCTGCTGAGGCCAACTGTTGTTTACCAACCCCTGATAGGAGTAGTCACTGCCCCCGGGCAGGTGGGGGGAACCACGGGGCCGCCGTTGTCCAGGTTACAGTCACCGGCTCCCTGTTTCGACTACGTGCTCCACTGTAGTCGACCAAAATCCAGGACGATTTTGAATTCCCCCTGCACACAGCTCATCTAAATATTCATGAGCATACCATAAAAGGAAGAAAACCTGTCGTTTCATTCTGGGGCTCTTAACCAGGCTTGCATTAGGGCTCATAGAACAGAGAATATGCCATTTTCAGCCCAACTAATGTTACACACCCTATTCAGGGACCTTTAGGACCAGCACTAAATACCCTATATAATCATTCTCTGACTCCCTTAATCTCTGCTTCTTCACAAGTCATCTCTCTGTCATGTATTTGCTCTACCCAGCCACTGAGCCAGGTGTGTCCAATCTGGTTTGACCTGTGCAGATTGGATTCACTTGGTCAGAAAAAATACATGACTCCAGATCCCCCATCTCTGACGGGGGGGTAACGAGGGAACATTTTAAATTTCTGACATGTTGCTTCTTCTGCAAAAAAAAGGTGGTGCTATTTACCTCTGTTCTGATTTTTTTTTTTTTTTTTTTTTTTTTTTTTCACAGCTTCTCCACATTATACATTTCCACATTCAAGTCAACTGAAGTTTTTTCTTAGTGCTGCACCTTCTCAAAAAAGCAAATTGAATCCAAGCAGTCAAGTTAAAAAGATTTGGTCCTTTATACCCATTGTGATGAAAATAATGTACAGAAACAGTGATGTCATAATTTGGCTTTGAAAAAAAAATCCCGAAATTAACCAGCGTGTTTTTTTTTTTTTTTTGAAAATGACAAAAATACTTAAAGTATTTGAAATTAGTTTTTTTAATTAGGCTACAATAAACATTAATTTGGATTTTCTTTTTCCGTTTTGGAGCCATGTTTTTCTCATGTCTGAAATTCTTTTCTCAAGTTAAGAGCACATACTTTAGTTTATCTAATGACCAGGGTCATTGAACAGATAATGAATTATTCATTTCTGAGTCAATTGATATATGATTTGAAGGGGTCAAAAACTAAATTAAAGGAGAGGAAAAAAGCTATTTAGAATGCCTATTAAAAGTAGTATTCTGTAAATTCAGCGTAAATTGCATTTTATTTCTTTTAAAGGTTTTCTTTTCAGTGCATGGTTTAACCTTTTTAGTTTACTCAATTGAGCTAAAAATGATTCAATGTTTTGCTGAAAGACTGGAATTATGTAATTTTTATATTTTTCCATTTTGTCTCTTTTCAGGATCATTGTATTGCCCAAAGAAGGATAAGAAAATTCAAAAATGTATTCCTTTGGAACGATGAAGAGTCAAACTCCCCAGGTTGCATCAGCCCGTCAGACCTCACAAGTTGCTCATCATCTGTCCCAAGGTTCATCTGCAGTTTGGTCTGCAAACACCATGCAACAGTGCATGGTGAACTCAGGGGTCCATGGGCTACATGGAACTAATTTCACACTGCAGAATGGGACAAGCCAAAGCAGAAATATGACAAGGTTGCAGAACCCTGATCCTACATCATATAAGGGGAACTCGGAAGTCCAAGTGTCACAAAGCACCAATCTGGCATTCCAGAATGAAGCAAACCATAACAGACAGTCTAACCGCTTGCAGAGCTCTGATCCTTCTCATTATATGGGTAACTCAGGAGTCCAACCATCACAAAGCACACATTTTGCATTGCAGAAAGGAGCAAACAATAACAGACAGATGAAAAGCTTGCGAAGCTCTGATACTCCTCAGTACATGGGAAACTCAGGAGTCCAAGTGTCACGGAGTTCATATTTTACCTCGCAGAATGGTGGAAACGATAGCAGACCAATAATGAGCTTGCAGAGCTCTGACTCTTCTGATATACCATCACAGTTTAAAGAGGCTTCACAACAAATAGATCACATCCTCCTTAAAATGATCCTTAGCCAGCCACAGTATACAGTAAACAAATTCCAGGATGGAAGTGTCTCTGTGCCGACAACCTGTATACCTGGGTCAGCCACTATGCAAAATCCTCTGCACTATTCTTCAAACCAGAGTCTACATAGTCCTGTTGACACAAATGACACTTATAGAAATCCTAACACAGCTAATTTCTGCAATCGACCAGTGTATTTTGAGGCAGAGAGGAATAGGACTAGAAATGCTTCCCTTCTTGAACAGCACAGGGCCCAGCAGGCCATGCATGGAACTCCAAATGGAGAGATGACCAAAGCTATATCGTCATATACATCTACTACCTTGAATGCTTATGAGGAGATGGTCAACACAAACATCCCAGGATCTGCAGCCAGTAGTAATAATCAGGCTCAGGGTGGTCCAACCCAGATCCATAGACAAAGTTTTTCTACGGGTGGATACTCTCAAAACGTCTCGCCAAGTTGTCAGTCATTTGGGAACAACAGTGTTGGTACTCAACGCATGTCCTCAAATCCACAGGGCATGTCAGTTTCTAACATGGGTAAGATATCTCGGCAACCTTCAAATAGATGCAGTCCTTCATACAACAACTATGGGGGTTTCAGAAGCATTAATTCATTGAACCAGTGTGAAATGAAAAGTTTTCAATCAAAAAGAATCAAGTGTTCTTTAAGCCCTGATACTACACCTCAACAAATGCACAGGCAAAATATACATGCAGAAAGTACAAATCAGTCCTATGCCAGCAAACCCAATCCTCCCTATTGGTCACATGTCTCTCCAACAACTAATAAAAATGTCCAAACTAAGAATGTAGCTCCTTCTGAAATGTATAGTTTGAATGCTAGCAAGTCTTTACCGCTTCATTCCAGGCTGCCTGTTCCTCAAAGTGTTATGCCAACTAATCAGAAAAATGGAAATGCACAGTTTCAACATAACACATTACCGAATGCCATGATCTCCAGCAATGAAAGGAACAACAGTGAAGGGGGGCAAGTAATTCCCAGTAATGTAGTGCCAGAATGTGAGAGAGTAATTTGGCAGAGAAAAGATGGTCCTGCTATGGTAGTAAGCCATTCAAATAACAGTGGAATGCCTTCTCCTTTTAAACAAAATGACAGCTGTGCTTCCTCCATGTCTGGTCACCCTGGCACAAAAGCTATTGCGGTTGTGCCCCCATTGTCGCAGGAAGAGTATCACTCTCCAACCAGTAGTGAAACTTGTAAATCTGTAGATGATGCACAGAAAAGCTGCATTTCAACTGATTTGTCAACAATCAACGAGACTACATTTGGAAGAGGGGTACCCAATCAGAATCAAGTGACCCCCAAAAAGGCAAACGCAAATGAAGCTCTTTTAACAATTTCGGACTCTGAGACTGAAAGCTTGGCTGAAACATTAATCCAGAATGATAATGAACCAATTGTTCAAAAGGTATCCGAAGTTTCAGTAAGTGTAACCAGTTCTGGAGAGCACACTGAAGGGACTCTGCCTCAGTTACCAAATTTTAATGAACTTTCATTGCTTCCAGCAAAATCTTGGACTGCTGAGGCTCTGACCAAATTGATATTGGAGATGGATGAAGCTCAACCCAAACCTATAAACAATTTAAAGTGTTCAAGTATCATCAAAATAATGATGATGCCCTGGAACAAAAACTGTGAGGTCATTACTAACTACAATAAAGACTGTCAGAAGTGTTTGCTCTCTGAGGTACAAGAATTCTGTGAGACGCACATCAAGCAGGACACTGTTGTACTGAAACAAGTTACCCCCGACTTTCAGGACCAACTCAAACGGTACATTATTCTTAAAGATGATGAAATGCCCTCAGAGCCTCCTTACAAATCTCTGTGGTTGAATGTCAATGATCAGCTTGATGACATTGATAAAGAGTTTGGCTTTCCTCTGGCCTTGAAGCGGCATATTGTTGTTGAGGAAACTGAAAGCCAGGGACACAATTTCGAAGTGATTGATAACATTCCTGAACCAACTGTGGATGAGGCAGTAAACAAAGGTCTTTATCCAGCCAAGTCTGAATCGGTTGGCATGGAGAAAGAGAGCCTAATCTCCCAATCCCCACCTGCTTCCTCTCAGGAGTCCTCAGACAAAAGTGTTGGTGAATCGAGCTACTCCTTCAAAATAGAAGTTTTGCCTCCAGAGGAAGCCAAACTCATCTTTGAGCAAGTAAATCCTAAGAACCAGAAAAGTTCCAGTTGTGAGAAAGAGACTGTCACTGGCTCTGGGAAGTGGGACGGAATTGAAGACATGGGTCCCACATTAAATAATCTTAAAGTGAAGAAGTCTTTAGACAATCAGCTCAAAGAGATCTGCTGCCTTACAAGGTTTGTCGAAATTAATGCAGGAGTGAAACTACCGTCCAAATGCAAATGTGGCAGCAAAAAAAGAGCAAATGAGAGCACCACCAATACCCTTAAACTTGACCCTGACTTTTGCCAAGAGGATGTTAATTTTCCTCTTAGTAATATTAAACCTTCCAGTCACCTTAGTCATATTATTGATTTGACTGATGATGATGACCAACTTCTTTCATTATTTGATAACGAACCTGAGCCCATTGTCCAGACCTGCAGCCAGTCAAATGCTGTTGTTTGTGAGCTAAAGGACAAAGAGATTTCTTCAGAATTTTCTCTCCAAGATTTGCAAAGTTTTGTAATCAAGAAGAGAGAAACTGGAATAGAACATGTACAAGAAGATGTGTTAAAAGAACCTGTGCAGTCGAGCAATTCAGCCAGTTGTACCCAGCTATCTACAGAGGATTCTGACAACACAAGGACTAAAGAACCACATTTGTTATCGAACCAGGAAAAAGAGGAAGATGCTCCTGTAACATCCCACGGCAATGTGAGGTCCCCTTCAGAAAACCAAACCAAATTAGAAGTTAGTGATGTAGACAAACGGATGTTAAACATTAGTGTTTGTAAAGCTCCAGATGACAAAACAAAAGGCAAGAGACAAAAAAAGAAGAGACAAAGAAGTCTTGAACATTATTTTCACTCACTAAAAAAACCTAAGATATGTAGACTGCCGGTTGCCTCAGACTCAAATCCCACCTCTGAAGCTCAGAATTTGTTTTACAAGGAGAAAACTTTAGCACTAGTATTATTTGGACAGCAAGAGGCAAGTTCTTCTAAAAAAGACAAGTGCCTGGTTTCTTCTCCAATAACTGCATCTTATGAGAAACACAAACCTCCTGGAGTTCTCTCTGTAAAATTGGATTCCTCAGGAAGGGACATCACTACAGCCAATACCACAAAGGACTGCTCTGTCAAACAGAAGATCTATGAAAAATGGCGGAGGAGTGTTCCAACTATAAATAGTTCAGTTGCTACTCAGTCCAAAAAAAAGATGAGAAGGCGACACAGTTTACCTGCTTCTTTGTCTATTGAGAGGACTGAAGAGAAGAAGACAGTTTCCCCAGAACTGAGGCTCTCTGATAGAACTAGGAAGTACATTCTGAGTCTCAAGAAGAGGAGGGCCCTCACTGAATGCCGTAGACGTGAAGAGATAAAGAGGAGTTACAGTGTTACAATTGAAAAGCCTGAACATCAACAAGGAAGGGAGATGGATGAGGAAGGTGACAGGATGGTAAACCGTGATGGTATAGTCTTGAAGTTCAGCGTCCTGCCCAACACCTTTAACTTCACGGCCGGGTCTTCTGAAAGGGAGAAAGCTGAATCCATTTCAGGTAAACAGAATTGACTCCAAACACCATCTGTAGTCAGCCTATAGAGTCTTGTCTGTGATTTAACTTACCAGGCAGTACTTGTGCATCAGTGGAGTTTTGTCAAATTGTAGATGGGGAACACCATGGCTAACCATGCAATCGTGTCTTAAATGGAGTTGGGCAGAATCATTAAAGCTTTTTTTTTTTTTATGCAGATATACATTATTTAAAATCTTGGGTAAAATCTTCAGCGACAAATTATAAATACTGTGTAAAATAGATGTTTTCATACTCTTTATGGTTGTGAAAAATTTGGAAAAATTTAAATGTCCAGCAGCTTTTATCGTAATGCAGGTTTGGATAGTCCAAATATTTAAAGTTTATTTAACACACAGCAATTTTTTCCGAGACAGGCAAATTTCCTGTTCTTCTTAAGCATAGTCTAACTTTTGAAGATTTCAGGTTTTATGAGATGTATCTCTGAAATATAATATTCCATTGAATATTAAAAGCAAGCATCCCTGTGTTATATTTAGGGCTGCAACTATTATTTTGCATATCACTTAATCCGTCAATTTTTTTTTTCAATTACTTGATTATTCAGATATGCAACTTGAAGAGTTCTGGATAGAGCATATTGACAGATGAATTTTTTTTTTTATTCTTAGAAGAACCCATTTTTGCACACATTTTGCATTTGTCAGCTAAAGGCACATTTTACAGTCCCTTTACTCCAGTTGACAATAGATTACTAAACAAGTTGACTATCATTTCAATAATCGATTAATCAATTAATCTGATTACTTGTTTCAGCCCCTGTTATATTGTACACATCAACAATGGGCAGATGGTCACACTAATGTAAAATGGAGCTATTTATTGTTTTACCAGCCTAGGTTGCTTTATAACATGTGTTAAAGTTCTCAGTCACTGCAATATATTTTCTTCAATTGGAAAATGAGAGCAAAAAAAGTTTTGTTATATTTAAGGTATGCAACAGAATCAGTTCTCAACCAATGAAATCTGGCATAGTAGGGACATTTGCAAGTACGAGTAGGGCAGATTTTCCAATTAAAGTGTAATCTGCAATATAAACTTAAACTATCAAACTAGCAAATGGCTTGAAAGAAAATCAATTGGAACATGTTAAATGGAAATTGTTTTTTTTAATCACTTCCTTGTAGTTTTCAGTATTTCAGATGGGTAGTCCCCCTCTGTGTTCTCCTTTTATGACTTGGATTTAGATAAACATTGACAGTTTGTATACACAGCTTATATTGCATACAGCTTACAACAGTGAAACCAGCAGCTTAAAAACCGTGAAATGAACATTACCATTTAAATTGCAGGAGTAATCAGAATGTAAACAGTGTAGGAGAAAAGGAAAACCAGTTTAAAAATATTGGTGCAAAAGGGATTTAACATGGAAAGGTTCAGTGATCTGCGAAATATGATGAAAAATGCAGTAGGGCATTGAGTTGTGTCCCATTTAAAAGGATTATAATATTCCAGCCACAATAACTGACGAATTTGATCTCTTATGACATTTTAGATGATAACCCTGTGTATAAACATTAGGGGTGTGGGAAAAAATCGTTTTGGCGATATATCGTGATATTCGGCTTCCCAATATAATATCGATCTTTCACTTCTTAGTATCGATTTTCAAAAAAAAAAAAATAGTTACATAAAACATTGATGGGAAAATGTGCTACCTCTGCACCACCACTCTGGCAGAAAGCGCTGTGGAGCCCTTTAACTGTGCGTGCAGCACCAAATCTCTATTTGAGGCAGTCACAGTGGAAGAAAACCCCAAACAACATGGATAATAATACCTAATCAATATTTTCTGATTAAAATATACAGCACTTGCTGTTTTATCTCATCATTTGATTTTGATAGCTGGGGAAAATATGGCAATATATAGTGATACTGCAATATCGTGATAATATCGTATCGTGACCCAAGTATCGCGACATGTATCGAATTGCAACACTCATGCCAATACTCACCTCTAATAAACATGGTACAGTATAAAATCATAAAAAGATAAATTATAGAAAATAATTTGAACTTCATTCCATTGGATAGATATAAAAGTTGGTTACTTACAAAAAGACAAGATTTTGGTTGGTCTCGTATGTGTATAGGATTGCTTTATAAGGAATGAGACGGGAAGCCAGTGGAGTTAATGTACAGATGTGAAGTAGATGATGTGATGATGCAAGCTGATCTTTTGCAGCATTTGCAGTTAATGGAGGGTTTTCTAGAGGACAGGCAGGGAAGGGAGTTGAAAATTTGCCATAAGTCGAGTAAGTAGAGTAAAGGAATGGTGTTCAATGCTGCAAGAGATTAAGGAATTGTCGGTGCATATTGTAAAACTGCCAAATTTGGTTAAAGTTAACTTTAAGTGTTGTACATAATGAATAATACACTGACAGCCCTGGATTATATGAGCTGGCTCTTTTCAGTTAAATTGAGTGCGCTCTTGCCCCTGCTTTAGAGGAAATGGTGCCAAACTTGGTATCGGGGGGTTTGTGTCTGTTTGACGTTGCCCCATATAAATGCAGATCAATCGACGACTAGGTGTTTTACAACATATTATGGGGGAAAACGCCACCAGTACAGTATTGGCTCTACCCCAAAGGTACGTTTTTTGTTTTTGCCAAAAATGACTTTAAATATTCTTGTTTTTCCAGACAGTTTGAAACCAGTAGAAAAGGTCCATCAAGAACCTGCAAAAAAGCTAAAAGGTAAAACATTGGGTCATTCATTTTTTGTTTTTTTGTTTTTAATACAATGTAAAACTTGTTTGCTGTCTTTAGTGCTAATTCCAGTCATTGTGTATGTAATTCACAGTGAGAACATGGTATTCAAGTGAAGCCATGCAATATAGGCCTCTATGTGTCCCCAAGAATCCCGGCCTCTTTGATGAGTATCGGAAGAAATACAAGGAGAAGACTCTCACATCGACTGATGAATAATCTGTTTTCTATTTCACTTCTGTATGTGGACTGCTAATATGTCTTTGTACTGTATATTCAGGGAGTAAAACTATCAGTTTTAGATTTTACATAACTGAGAATCACTGACCTCATCTGTTTTCCTCTTTTCACAAGATGTAAATGTTAAAACTGAAAATTTTGTGCAATTATATTGTGTATGCCTGAGTGGCCTACTGGTTTGTAAAATTTACTTTGTTCATTTCTTTTTTTTTTTTTACTTTTTTACCAAGTAACATTTTTGTGCTTTTGGTTTTCTCTGAGACTAATGGAAAAGTTACAAAATTTGAAAACTTCCTTTTGATTTAACTTTTTTACATTTCTCTGTGCTTTATAAATAAAGTGTTTGACAATGATGCTGTGTATAGTAATGGGACATGAACTTTATATGAAACACCCTAGGGTAAGAACCGCACAAAGACCAGTAGATTCTAAAGGAAAGGCAATTTTATTTATTTAGCACATTTCAGTAGCAAGACAATTCAGTGTTTGTGAAGGTTAAAGTCTGAGTATTTCACTACACCCATATTTCGAGCCAGGTTGTGTCAACTTTTAAACACACTTCCTTTGGCTAAATAAAAAAAAAAAAAACAAAAAAAAAAACAAATTTTTTTATTTTATAATTAATCTCGGACTAGAAAAATGTATCTCTGTATTTAAGCCATCACCCTTGGGGAGCAGTGGGCTGCCATTGTGCAGCGCCCGGGGAGCAGTGTTGGGTTAAGGGTCTTTCCTCAGGGACCCAGAGTGGCGACCTTGGGAGTGGGGCTTAAACTCAGAACCTTTGCATTCTAAGCACAATGCCCTAACCCCTAGGCCACCTCTCCCCTGCTGACAAAAGTACTGTTTCTCCAAGCAGGATTGAAACCAGTCAAGTATGTAGGATGGCCTTATGTGAACATATCCCCAGAATGATTGACAATTAGGAGGACCACTTATTTTGATGATCCACCTGGAAAAAGAACATCCTTCACTGTACCTATAAATGACAGTTCTGAATGCTAATGTTTGCGCATCAGCATAGAAAATATACTTTTATGCAAAATATATATTTCCTATATTTACAACATTACCAAATATGACATCAAGGGAAAATCTATAAAGGTACTCCTACAAAGGAAAAAAAAGCCTGGTCATCAACACAAGATAACCAAGTTTACCTTTTATCAAGAAAAATTAACAAATACATTTTTAAAGGAATTAAAATTAATATAGTGCAACTGGAAATGTAAAGGAGAACTATGCCATCCCATAATATGCTGTTCGAATAAAAAATGTTTGTCACGTTGCTTTTTAATGCAAACCCCTAAAAGTATCAAAAAGGCACTACTTTACAGAGGAAACTAGTCTGTTGTCATGACCAGTTCTGTTTTCCTGAGGAAGTTATTGCTTTGGAATAGATAACCCTAATTTGATACACAGCCAGGGAACTGAATGTTCAGACAGATATAGGTGAGTGTTCAGTGCAGAGACTTCTTTGGGAAGGAAACTGGAGCTGACCTTTAGCTTCCCCTGGGTAAGCTGAAGTTTTGGACTCCAGTGGTTGTTTTGGAAAGCTGATGACCAACTATTTTTTTTTTTTTTAGCTCTACCAGAACTTTGGCTCAGGGCAGGCACTGTTCCTGGACAATTAACATCCAAACACCAAAGGCACTCTCAAATCTCACATGCACTCAGTGTGACACAGAATTCAGTGCACTCATGAACTGAAAAAAAAAGATAAACAAGATCTGTGATTAGCTCTGTCTAGGAAAGAAACAATTAAGCAGACAAGCTTAAGTGAGTTTTATGTCAAAGGGATGAAAGGGAGCAAGAGAAACATGACTAAACACTGAAAAACAAAACTTAAAGGATAAGGAAAAAATGCATACTTACATGATCTCCTGTCCTCCTGCTCTCCTTGCCAGGGCTGGATTAAGAGTACAAGATCTCCTTCCGTTTTACGAAATAAATCCCCTGAGAACAATGGTCCCTCTAAGCTGCACACTTGCACATTGCTAAAATATTTTTTTAGCGCACAAGAATATCTATGTAGCACACAAAATACAATCCAATATATACTATAAATTGGTTAGACCACCAATTTTTTTTTCCTGTACCATTTTGAATTCGTGTCTCAATCATTTATTTGTTTTCCGACTTAAAATCCAGAATAAATGGTGAACGGCTCCTTTTTAAAAATGTCCATTGACATATCAAATTAAATAGTCTGTACTGAAAAATAAATTAATAGGGAATGCATTTATTTTTATTTCATTTTGGATTTTTATAAGCACCTCACATTGCTGGAGGTCAGGCGGGTTTCCATGGTTACCAAGATTGGGCCAGACCGATCATACAAATCCATTGATTTTTGTTTTTTTCTGTTAATTATCAGTGACATTCTGTGTCTTATTGGCTATGGGCAACCACATATGGTTAAAACCACGTATGACCCTGGGCCCATGCCCATAATGCTCATTGGATAATCCTGCCTTGCTCCTTGCTGATTATACTTGACGCACTGATTGACTGACCGATTGCCTCACCTGCTCACTACCTTTTTGGTGACTGACCGTCTACATCAAAAAATAAATATCATAAAAAAGTAGAAACATAAAATAAACAATATTTAAAAAAGATAAACTGTAAGGTTTTTCAAGTTACCATGTGGTGAGATCAGACCATGTTTGATGCTAAATAGGATTAATGAGTTTAAATTTTGGCCAAAATGATTCATAGACTTAAGAAATAAGTTTGTCAAGGAAAATGAGAAATAATGTATCAATCACTTATGCAATGAGATAAGAATGTATACACTGTTTTTCTTATACATTAATTATTTAATGTATAAGGAAAATGATAACTTATGTTTTTATCAAAATAGGATTAACACTGAGGCTGAAATGTGGAGGGAACCCACCCAGTCATGTTTAAAGTCAGGGTGTTGAGGGAAAGCAACATGATTTGTCTTAAACAAAGCAAAATATAGACAAAGGAAGGGTGTTACTGAAAAAAAATAAAAACCTTGATGATGAAACTGGTGAACCCTGCCTGCCTGCAAGAGTTACTATGATATTGAAGGAGAAAGAAGTATACATACCCCACAGCTGTAGTAACTAACCAGAGCAGCTTCTTAATTCTCACTGTTTATATGCATAAAGCGAAGAACATTCATCATAAATCACACAAATAAATAATTCCTAAACTACTTCTTGTTGTATAGCTATATCAGTACATGTTATTTAATGACAAAGCTAAAGAGAATAAAGTGCATTATATTGTATTTTTTAAATATATGCTAAGACATTTATCAAATTAGATAACACATTTATCAAATTAGAATGATCTGTGGTATATCTGTAAAATGAGAAGGCATGCATAAATTGAAACTTTTGATATTTATTTTTTACTCAGATCCGTGTAACCAGAATGTTAATGTTACTGATTGTAGAGAGCCAGCAGTTAGGAAAAGTTGGGTTTTTTGGGTTAAAATGTACCTCTTCAAGTATT